CTTTGACAAACTGTTCGACAGTGAGGCCTGGACCCCACTGCACCTCAGTGGCTCGATGGCTGGGGCAAAGTATCCTACACGAAGGCGTGGACCCCACTGCACAGCAGTGACTTGGCGGCTGGGAAGCCTTTGGAAACAATATATTGTCCCCAGAAGAGACAGTGGACGCCACCGGTCCCTACCTAAAAATTGCCCGATCAGGAAGGGCACGTCGACATTTCCTATTCCAACTCTCCATCCGATCCCAGCATCTCCATTCCGCACGGGATGGCTCGATCACAAGTTTAGCCCTCAGCCTACCCTACAGTTGACTTTGGAAAGACTACAGTGCGAGGAAAAGGCGCTGCCGTCACAGTAGAAACGAAAATCCTAATTTTCCCAGAGGCTTGCAGCGCAGCCAGCAGTGGAATCTCAAAAAAAAAAAATCTAAAGGCTTGGCGGAGAGCTGTGGGGTTCAGGCAGGCCTGAGTATGACATTTTTGCTGAACCTACTTTTTGCTGGATTGTTGAAAAAGCAGTAAAGCAGTTTTCGTGAAACAGATTGCTTTAACAGACTGTAATGCTGTTGCCACACATATATCGTCTGTGTGGCTTCTTTTTTTTTCGATAGGGTCCACTTCTCAACTTGAGCATGTCATTCTTGCGCACGAGCTAGCCCATCTGTCAGACAATAGGACGGTACTGTGATTCTGTGTCAGTCCAAAAGTTCTTGCTCCACTGCATTAGGGATGGACCCCACTGCCTGGCAGTAGAAAAGGGACTCCACTAGAAAGCTTCCACGAACCCAAATAATAGCGGATGGGAATGGGCAGTAGAAAAGGGACTTCACCGCAGAGAGCAATTTTGTGTGCCTCTGTAGCTTTATGTTACTTGATAAGGAAGACTTGCCCTAAAGGGCAAGTTTACCTCCACTTTTCCCGCACTCCATCCAATCCCCATGCCTCCTTTCTGCACGGGATGGCTGAATCGAAACGGTAGCCCCAGGGGGCTACCCTCTACCCTCTGATTCGGCCACATCCCATGCAGAAAGGACGCTGGAGTGCTAGAATAGCAGAGATCAGCAAAGTAGAAACAAAAACCCTTGCTTTTGCCGCCGGCAGTGGAGTCTCGATTTCTTCCAAAGCAGTGGGGTTCGACCCTTAGGCTAGCACCCTGCAGCGGAGTACCTGACTAAAGCCTGGAAAGCACCAGCACACACTGGTATTACCACCATGTGCGGTGGGCAAAAGAAAACAGGAACTAACAGGAACTTGAAATTTCCGCTTGCCCATCGCTGTAACTGATCAGGAGATTGCAAGTCGACCTTCGCAAGTCGACACCTTCGCAAGTCGACCTCTGCTTGGTAACCCCGGAAGGTCACAGACAGAGAAGGCAAACAAAGCAGGGTGGAAGCCAGTGGAAGTGTCACCTTTTAAACCACCAGTACTTCCTAGAGTCGTGCTTGTTAACGCACCACAATTTTAGGAAACGTGCGGGCTACTACAGGAGCGCCCAAATTCATCCGACTAGAAACGTTTCTACTCTATTTTTTTCCGCGGCCGATAGCTGGGCCAAGTACTGGTGGTTTAAACCATCATGCTGGGCCCGGGCGTGGGGTCCACCTCTTAAACCACCCGTACATTCCCCAGCTATTTTGGGCAACGGCCTGGAAACCGCCAAGAGCTGGACTTTGCCTGCACTGGGGTGCCAGCTGAAACACCCACCATGCTGCGGGGTCCACCCAGTACGTTTCCCAGCTATTTTCTTTTAATGTGACAACAGCATCCTTGGGGCCTTGGCTACCACATCCTTGGGGCCTTGGCATTCCGCATCCTTGGGGCCTTGGCCTTCCACATCCTTGGGGACCTTGGCCTACCACATCCTTGGGGACCTTGGCCTACCACATCCTTGGGACCTTTGCCTACTGAACAAGACCTACCACAGCCTTGGGGCCTTGGCCTACACATCCTTGGGACGTTGGCCTGCCACATCCTCGGGGCCTTGGCCTGCCACATCCTTGGGCCTTATCCTTCCAAACGGAAAAGCCCAGCAGCAGGGCAAGAAGTGGAAAAGCCCAGCAGGACGGCAAAAAGTTGCAATTTCAAACCGGCAGTGGTGCGCCAAGTCAAACTTGAACCACCAGTACGTTTACCACCCAAAGAATAAAATATGCGGCCTACGGTAAACCCAAAGAATAAAATATGCGGGCTGCACGGTAAACCCAAGGAATAAAATATGCGGCCTACGTGCAGCCGTAACTTTCGGGACTCAGCCTCCAGAGCAGAATGGCTGGCGGCACTGGCCTCACTGGCCTGCGAAAGTTCTTTTTCCTTTGGTACACAAAGCATTTCCAGCCCCAGAGAAAAGTGTCTCTGGAGACGAAGAGGGGCTCGGACATAGGCCCTTGCTAACCACTCTCCAAACACAAGGGGCTGTCTCTCCGCCAACTGACCATGGCCATCTTGTTCGGCGGCTATGGCCATCTTGTTCGGCGGCTATTTTTCGTTGTGGTGAGTGGGCCATGGTGAGTGCTCACCACAGCCACAGTTTTCTCCACCTGCAGAAGCAAAAGTTGTGGCACCTCCTCTACAGGGCTGACCAAAGGTGTTGAGTCTGCCCCTGCCTGCGCACTGTCCCGACCAATCGAAGGCGCACGGCCATCTGGTGAGAGCTTAAGATTGGGGAGTTGGTCCATCTACTCCGTTTGGGGAGTCGGGAGTTGGTGGAGCATAGATATTATTTCGGTGACAACTCCCCATAGACTCCGTTTGGGGAGTGGGGAGGCAAGGGACATACCAGTGGTTTAAACTGAGAATCCCAATTTAGCTCTACTTACCGTATAGGAAAGTAAGTTTTCTCTATGGAGCGACCAACCTACCTACATGGAGACCCGGGCATTAGATGGGAAATGGAGACCCCGGGATTGGATGGGGGCCGAGACAGGCGGAGCTCTAATTTCCCTATAGGAAAGTTTTCCCTATCGTACCCGCAGGGACCAACCTGCCGAAAAAAAATTGCTGCGGCGGGGTCTCATTTCTCACACCACTTGAGAAAGTCTTTTCAACAAGTACAGATTTAAATTTTTAAGTGTTGTGTACCTAAAGGGATCTGATAAGCTAAACCGGCTGCTGCTGCCGGGATAACACCGGCTCGAATTATGAGGAGACCCGGCCTCGATTAAGATTTGTTTGGAATATATGTGACTTTTTCAACAACAAAAAAAAAAAAAAAAAAAAAAGTATTTTCAAGGAAGCATCCTTCCACCTCTCCTAATGACGTTGGCAGACGTTTTCACAGATGGGTTCCAAAGGGCTGGCCCCTGAAACTCAAGGGCGCCAGAGGCAAAATCCACCTCCACCTCCATCTCAAGGGAGCCAATAGTGGTGACTTGAGTGTCAAGGGCAAAAACTGGCCATTCTGCTCACCAGAGTGGGTCGCCACTTCGCTCCTGAAACCAAAATTATTCACGTGCAGCTTTTTTTGGTTGTTTTTTTTTGCCCTTTCAACGAGAAAACGAGTCAGGGGAAATTAATCACACCTTCTCTGAGTTAGGGCGCACTTGAAAGTATTTTCAAAAGTGCAGAACCCACCCCTAAAATTTCGGTGCCGTCCGTGTACATTTTTCCAGGCGCACACAGCAGCCGCCATGCAGTGGGGTCCAACTGAGAATCCCAATTTGGTTCAAACTGAGAATCCCAATTTGGTTTAAACTGAGAATCCCAATTTTACTAACCGTTGAACAAGACCCTCCATTGTCCCACGGCTTTAGGAAAATGATCCCACCGCTTTAGGAAAATGATCCCACCGCTTTAGGAAAATGTGAAAACAGCATAGCAACTAGGGGGGCTAAGCCAAAATTGTGCCACAGTTTGGTAATGAACAACCGTCTTCCCCCGAACAGAACGCACCCTCATTTTGGCTGGCTGGCTGTTGTGCACCGGAAAGATAGTTTCTACACGTTCCTTATCAGGGTGCCCTATGTTTGGAGGAAGACCTTAGCAGCTTGAGGCAAGATAGTTTCTACACGTTCCTTATCAGGGTGAGGGTGCACTATGTTTGGGGGAAGACGTTAGCAGCTTGAGACGAACCAGGTAGTATACTCCGAGGCAATGCACCCTGTATAACGGCCGAAAATTGGGCCACAGTCAGTCTGGCTGCACCGGACCAGAAAGATAGCGTGTATACGCGTTCATTATCAGGGTGCATTATGTTTGGGGAAAACGGTAGCAGCTTGAGGAGAACCAGGTAGTCTACTCCTACTAGGCAATGCACCTATAACACCGGAACATTGGCGCGACAGCGATTCTGGTTATCAGACAGCGGAGAACTGTCATCCAATGGTATTGCACGCCATGGGCCACGCTCCGCTACTCTCCAAGTGTGCAAAATGAGACCGAATCTTCCGCTAGAACATGGAAAGATACACGGCCATATTTCTTCTCTTTTCTCTTTTCTGTGCATGTGCAGAATAGTCACTGGAGCAAGGCCCCATGACTTAGCCCAAAACGGGCAATTGCCAGCCAATTCGGAATCGGCACCAGTAATTCGCTGTTGGCATCACCCATTGGGCATCGCTGCACTATGGACATGCACAAAAGACAAAAATCATGGGGCCGTATCTCGCCATGTCTCTAGCGAAGATTCACTCTCGTTTTGCACATTTCGAGAGTAGTGCAGCGAGCGAGGCCCATTACCACCCCCCAGTGGCGGCCCCTGCCCGACTGTTCTCTGACTATGGCTATTCAAAAGAGCCGAGGTAGGGATAATCTGTTTTTTTTTAACCCTACCCAGTAATCTGTTTTTTTTTTCTGTTTTTTTTAAACCCTACCCAGTAATCTGTTTTTTTTTTTAAGACCGCCCGCAAGCCCACGAAAGGTATTTTCATGTGCAACAGACTGACAGACTGTTACTTGATCAGACCGTCATACTGTGAGCTGCCAACGACAACAAATTGGAAGAGAGCAAGGCATGGCAGCAGCACACATACCACTTTTGCAGACTGCAAAGACACATAAAATGCTTGTCGCCCGCATGCGACGAGCTCTCATTGACTGCCTGCCGCGAGTGTGTGACGGGCTCACTCGTCGATCCGTTGGCAAGCACTCTCGTCCGTTAGATCCGTATAAAGTCGATCTTGTCACATAACTTGCCCACAACAACGTTAAGAGTCACGTTACGGAACAGCTTTGCCAGCATTGCTTCGGGCGCTTTTCAGCTCATCATCTTGTGTCTTTCCTCCTGCTGCGGCTGCTGCTGTTTTGCTCTTGTTTTTGGCGTTATATCGCTGCCATCGTTTTTTCTGTCGTTCCTGCTGCCGTTACAGCGGCTGCTGCTACTTTTGCAGTCGTTTTCGCTGCTGCTGCTGCTGCTGCTGCTGCTGCTGCTGCCATTGCTGTTGTTGGTGCAGCTGCTGCAGTGATCGTCGCTGTTGCTTCCCCTGAAATCGATCCCGCCGATCCGGCTGCGGGGGTTGTCGTTGCCGCTGCTGCTACTAGTGCTCCCGTTTCACCCGGTAGTACTGCTGCTGCTTTTGTTGTTCTAGGCACTTCTTCTGCTATTGTCATCGCCTCCGCTGCCGCCGTTAATGCGTCTATCCATCCCGCCAGCTCAGCCCCTGCGTTGTCGCTCTCTTTGCTGCTGCTGTTGTCATCGTCACCTCTTAGGCGACTACTGACCTTCTTCTTGTGCTTCATGTTCTCGCTGTCATTCTTATCCCTGCCTTTGCTAGTGGTATGGCAGTCCCTCTTCTCCGCCCTGACATCACCACCACCTTTCCCATCTCCCGCCGCCGCAGCACTCCCTCTCTTCGCCCTGGTGCTCGGAGGCTTCACGCCGTCTGGGAACACGTAGGCGGGAATTCCTTTCCTCTTCACATGCGAGATTGCGATGTCCATACCGAACTTCCAAGAGATGAAAGTGAAAAGCGTATCCTTGAACTCCTGGACCGTCTGACGCAAGTCAAACTCCGTCTCTTGCAGGCCTGGGCGGCGATACAGACCCATGAAGTAAGTGGAATGCCTTCCCTTACGACCCGGATCGACGAACTCGACCGGATACGGATGAACCTGGAGGCCCCCGCAAGTGTATCTTTCCACCTTGAGCGTCAGTTGGCGCAGCCTGGACTCAACCCAGCCTGTCCAAAATCGCTGATCCTCCACCGTGTGGGATGTCACGTCGATCTGAAGGTAGTGACCGTACTGCTCAAAGAAGGGATAAGGTTCAAAAAGCTCATCCCACCCGCGGTCGCCGTTGTAAATCTGGTCACAAATCGCCTTGCCTCTCGAAAACTCCGCTTTCATCACGCGCAACGTGCTTTCCGATACGTTATAACTGGAGTTCATGCACGGGTAGGCCGGGGTTATGATGGGCATCAGATGATACTTATCGCGAGGGTTGCGCCTCGGGTCCCAGACTGGCAAGCCCAACGATCCTTCTTCGATCGGACACAGCATCACAGGATTAGGCCATCTCCAACACTCGTACACGCGGAAAAAGCGCGCCACCAACATGCTCGGATTCGCATTAGGGTAAAGTTGGCAGATCCTCGCGACGAGCAGAGCCCAATTAACACCCCCTAAGAACCCCGATACGTTAGAGTAGACCCCCCGCCTTCGCGCCCACAGCTTCATACAGCGCAAAGCCGTGCGGAAGTGGTCCACGTGCGGCACGAGCCTCAGAATGGAATCTGTCACTCGACAGCCATTGAGACTAACGACGCTCTTCTCATCTACATTCCTGAGGATATGTTCTTTGGCAAGATCCAGATTCTCTGGAATCGCAAGGAGATTGAGACGAGCATAAAGCAGATGAATGGAGATATCATTGAACTTGAATTTCATGACGGGAACGTGAGCATCTGGGACAGGATGAAGCTCCGTCACTTCCTTCATATCAAGAAGAATCATATACAAGCCGACAAAGAAGTCCTCCCTATACACATGGCGCGGACCAACGCAGAGAGTGTCTATATTCGCCCCTGGCCCGTGCACTCCCAGTCGATAAGAGCCAAACGTGAAGATCTTCGCATTTCCGACTTCATCCAACAGCGCATCCCGGAACCCCTTCTCCTCACTGACGCCTCTTACCCATTGCTTCACTATGCGCTCTAAGCGGCCAAGCACCTCTTCGCGCTGCACCTTCTCTTCTGTAGTCTCGTTGAGGACTGTGAGAAAGCACTTCAACTCCTCGGTCAACCTCACGTCCACTTCATCCGGAGGAGCATAGGAAATCGGTTCCGTCACGCCATATCGCCGTCCCCCAGCCAATTCTTGACGCAAAGTCGTCCCAGCCATCTCTCTCTCTCTCTCTCTCTCTCTCTCTCTCTCTCTCTCTCTCTCTCTCTCTCT